GACAAGAGTTCATCCAGGTCTTTGCAGAAAGAAGAGCAATAAAAAGTCGAGAAGTATAACAGTAAAAGACAAGCACGACTGAAATGTCAATTTCTGGCTCACTGGATGTCATCAGCCGAGAGGATTACGGATTTCAATCACGGGTTCAGTTGAGCATTGAAAAAAAAAACGTTCTATCGCTGATCTCACAGCTTTACTGGCCAAATTGATAAGTAGTATTTACTTAAAAAAGTAATGAAAATACGTTCTGCCACTTCCAAGGGACTCTGCGAAAACATATAAAGTATCCCAGAAATTTTTTGGGATAACGAAAGCCAGGGAGTCCAGTTAAGAACAAGAAAGGATATTGTTATTAACAGTAAAAAGCTGGCTTCCGCGCAACTCCAACAAAAGATGGATAACGGCGCAAACAATGTGAATGAGAGGTAACCTGCAAAAACTACATCCGATTCGGCTCCGATCGGGGAGTAAATGTAGTTGATCGCGTAGGCAGTGCACCCACATAGTGACTCAGCTGTGGAAGCATATTAACCCGTGACAACCTAGCTACTTCGCAAAAGTAGAATGAAAAAAGTACAAAAACTGTAATTTATACGTATTTTTACCGGGACATGTGAGTTGGCAAGAACACGTGGAGAAGGTCGGTAAGACCTCGAAGGACTTACAGTTACACTAATTCTCCTCTGGAATGTAGCGTGTCATACCAGGTTCCGAATAGCAGAACAAGAACTATGCCTCAGTTAGTATAAGCTTTTACGTGGGGATCTTGAGATCGGCAAGTGTTATTGACAAAGCCGGAAAGACCATGAACTCATCGAACCTTGAGCATTAAGTCAGACGCCCTACCACTGAGCTAGAGGCTCAAACCACCTAGGATAATATTGAGTCACTCCGGAATGGCTTTGAAAAAGAACTGGCTAACAAGGGTAAAAAGCGGAAATCGACACTTCAGTTAATCTCGGCCTCATCAGTAATAACTCTCAATTACTAATTACTCGTCGCACTTCGGGCGCATGCTTGGACTCCAGAACGTAAACCCAGGGCAAGAGGAGGTTGTTGGCATGATATTCTGGAATCAATTAAAGCAACTCCTACGTGATTTTAAATCCCGAAATAATTTTATGTTTAATTATTATGGCATCATATGTTAAGACTATTCCATTTCAGTATTCTAAATGCGACTCCAGGGGTATTGGTACGGGCATAATCCTGGTTCTTAAACGAAAGCCGAAACGCGTGTCTACAGGAGGCTATATTGGCTCGAAAACGCCAGTAAATATGCGCTCATGGAAAAGTCGAGAATAAAGAGTTATCGAAAGGTAAAGAGGGCCTATACTTACCATCCGGGGTATTTGACGGGGGACGGTCAGCGGGAGGGCCACGGGCACTCCCTCGCATCCCACTATCTGCAAGGGGAGTAACACGATGAGGCGAACTGATTGTCGTTGCAGAGGGACCGAGGTACGGTATGCCACCGATTATAGGGCCCTGACGCCTTGAATCACTCGCCTGCGAGGCCTGTGACGACTCCGCCACGACACTGAGAGGTCGACCATTTGCAAGACGGGTGTACCCAGTAGTGGCTCTCGTCTGAGCATGTAAGTTCGAGTAACCCTCCATGAGGTTTGTAGAATGGCGTGCATGATCTGTTTCAGACTCGGCAACAGCAGAGGGTCCCGCACCTCCTTCTGCGTCGGCATTGTTGGAGAGGCTAAAGACCACAGGGTCCTCGTTGTTGTCATGAACGGAAGTGCCATCTACCTCGCGATCAGCAACCTCGTTCTCCGCTGCATCGGCAACGGCAACGTTATCCTGTGAAGAGTAGCCGCCTACGCGTCGTCGGGATCGCTTTCCCCAAGCAAACAGGTTTCCCAGGCTAGATGAAATTTGCTGTAATTTGGACTGTGAAGCGGTCCGCGAGCCGGCAAGGGTTTTTGTGGATCTAGATAGGTGAACACGAGAGGAGCGAGTTAATGAGCCATCTCCCGACGCGAGTTGGTCTCTGGAACCTAAACGGTTACGAAGGAACTGAAACCGGCGGGTCTTCGGCGCTGGCGCGAGCTGTAATAGATGATAAAAATTGGTAGAAGTTAGCCCTCTGAATGGGAACTAATGGCATGCAAGAGGCTTGGCCACACGATACCTACGGAAGATGGGAAACCCACTAAGAA